ATCGAACGCGGAATGGGGCGCCGGAGGATGAAAATAAGGAGTCTTGAGTAGACCCATCGGTAGGGCGTTGGTGGTTGTTGCAGTTAAGAGGAGGGGGAGGGAGCCATCCTTCCAAGCACGTGAATCTGCCCCCCATGGTGCAAATCATAATATATACGTATATGTTAAAAAAAAAAACCATTCTTACGATTATCATGGACAGATACTATACAGGCTGCTCTGTCAAGTCTTTTCTCCTCTTCCTTTTCTTTTTTCCTTCGAGCGATATTGGATAGTCAAGCAAGTGCGTCGGCGGGCAAGTAGCACGGGTTGATTATAGGGCACCCTGTGTAAAGCACTTGTCTGTTGTGTAGATGAGTACTTAGTTGATAACGTGTCTACGCGAGTACGTTACTATTGTGGTACGCGACGCAGCATATACAGGTAAAGAAGAGATGAAGTGGGTCATTTCAGATGACCTTCAGATGCGCACCATACGCCGATAGGGCTTAAAGTGCCCTGAAACACCGCGCCCTTTTACGCCCGCGACACTCCCGTTCGTTGTTGTAATATACTCATTGAAATAGAAGGGATATCGAAGTAATAGTAATAAAAGAAGTTCAATATGTAGTGTGAAAAAAAGCGTTGCTTTAGCTTGAATGATAAATATGTAAGAAATACGGAAATATATAGGCCCCAATGCGCTTATTAAAGGGAAAACAGGAAAGATGAAAAAAAATAATGAAAAAAAGCCTTAAATATTTGGATGCGGGGGGTGAAAAAATTCCTTAGCATTGGAACGATAGGGGGTGGGGAGGGTTTGCAAGGCACCATTTGCAGATACAAGCTATATCCTTCTTGGCAAGGTTGGTCACTTAAGGAACAGGATTGGTTTCATCCAGCTATGTACAAGTATGTATCTGAAAGTAATGTAGTGGCATGATCGGTTCTTCGACTCATGTGTGACACCATCAATGCAAGGCACCCAGGAAGGACTGATTGGACATTACCTTCCACCCCCGTACGTCAAGAGGTAAAATATATCAACACACATTGTGAAAAAAAAGGGAGTTCAGTTGTGGCGCTATAGAAAAAAAAATACAATAAATACATCAGGGTAGCCTATTCAGGTATGGGAACATTCTAACCACATCCCACTATCTTTACATGTGTTGATATCGTTCAATGTCATCAAACAAAGAGAACTACACCAGCAAGAGTCACCACGGCCATGGGAGTCAACTGTGGGCGCCGACAGTCGTACTGAGTGCGGCCATGCGATTAGTTTCGCCGAAGCTAAGGATACTGCTGGGCATATGGTTTCTGTTGCCAACAGTCTGCGGACCGATGGATTCCTGGCGCTCGCCCCCTCGTATAGTGGACACTCGATCGTACCGGAGCTGAACTATGCATTGCGTTTTGAGCGAACAAGGGTGTCCCCAGGTGGAAAACACACTGAATTACCGGCGCCCTCCGCACGCACACGGTGCGTCGAGGCGGCCTCCTCGCGCAGACATCGCCCATACCATTGCCATCTCTTATCTCGATGGTAGCGCTCGATGAGGCCGAAGGACATCGCGCGGATTCTGAAAACACCGAACCAGGAAGGCTCTTGATATCCCCATTTTCCCACTCAGCATTTGAACAACTTATGTATGGGTAGGGGCCCGTGAACTCTGCAACCCTGTGTAGCGTTGGGTCTGGGAGGCATCAGAAAAGTGTGGTTCTTTTGAAGACTTGAGTCGTAGCGTCGAATTATCAATCGGCCTAATTTATAGTTACTTTCGGTGACAATCTTTAGAACACCATTGCGTGCGACGACATCCGCCAAATACATCTTGGGTGATATTTCCTTTGACGAGCCCCAGCGGCGAGGCTTGGATATTGGCATTATTTTACAAAAATAGCCGAGAAGCATGTCACACAGTTCAAGAAATGCTGGTGGTGTTTTTGGCATCGACCCGAGACGCCCCGATCTCACCCAGGGAGACAGGGTAGAACTACCCAAGCGGCGCGGGCGCTCCGTGTCGGACGCCGGCCCCGCCCCACCCCTTGTGTGGCAGCGATGGGGGCCTCGGAGGGTTCGAATGGAAGGTGGACCCAGGGGGTGTCACAACGCATTTTATTCGCGAGATAGGATCCATACCAGGTTTCCTGCGGATCGCCCCTGCGCCGAAAACACAACCGGACAGGACATGATGCCGCTGACCCTATATTCTGGAAACGACTGAGCGCATGTTGTGGCGCATGGGGCACTTGGAGGGTCGTGGCTGCGTGGCGGCGAGGCATTTTCTCACAATGAATAGGGTGAAGTGACTGTTTTCACCCCTGGGATGCCGACAGAGACATCAGTTCCGTAAGGATGCACCACGCTTCCTGACATCGGGCCAGGGTGTGGGTTTTGTGCATGGTAGGGGGGCGGTGCCGGTTCCCAGCTGCAGGTCAGCCAAGCCCCTGTGCCCGCCGGGGGGAAAATAGTGGAGATTTCTGGAGTGACATCCCGCGAGGCGCATGGAATTTTCAAAGGCATAAAATGTATTGCAGTATTTCAGTTTTTGGATCGGAAGTGAATTTTAAGTCGTGCCCGATGCTAAGATGCGTCGATGCAATGCGCCCTGGATGCTGGAAAAAAGAAAGGGTCAACATAATGTTTAAAGCATCATTTGTATGCGAAAAGCGGTATTATGGGCATTAGATTAGAATTTCTGCTTATTTTTCTCAAGTGGCCGCAGGTAACTTGTGTTAAGCTTCGCACGCATTGGGGATCCATCGATGCTTACCCAAGAGATGTGGCGGCTGAAAAAAGAGGTGACAGAGTGGGGCCTGCCCCGGGCCAGGGGGAGTGGCATCTTTCAAAGGGAATTTGTAGGGATGGACTAAAATTTGAAAACACACTATGGGCACGGTGGGTTCTACCAGGCCATGCGCCTGGGGCTTTTGGGGTGCGAATTATAAACGTCCCAAACGCCGTGGCGGCTATAATTGCCTGCGGAAAGGCGGCAAAAAGGCACCCCGGGGCTATCAAACCCTTGGGTGTTCTGGTAAGTGACGATTTGCTTTTGAGCCTATCATCCTCCACGGCGCTTCGCACCAAGCCGCAGCTTAGATAATGGGCTTTTGGCTCGGCGGGGGCTCTCTTTTGTCACCTGGGCGTGGTTCGGACCGTGCTTTCAAATAATTCTCCCGTGGCTGTTGCCACATTTTGACCGGTGTTGCGTCCATATGGGTGACTTTCGCGTGTTCCACTCTGTTGATAGATATTAAATCATTTCATTGTTTGTGTCCAGCATTCTTGCGCGAAGATTTTTAAATTGCATTATTGCAATTTTGATGGTTTTTTTCCCTATGCCGGGGGGGTATGTGGTTACGTATTTTTCGAAGGGGGCGCCGTCCACCCATCCCCACTTCTGTTTTCGGGACAAAAACTAGTGGCCCCTTACAGGGTGAGGTGCTTTTCATCATGTCTTTTTCCAAATAAAGGTTCAGTTGGATCCATTTACATGTTTTATCTCGTGTGCGGTGTTCGCGTGTTTATTTGGGGGGGGGGGGGGAATCTTTTTTAGGCAAAGCGTGGCTGGGGCAAGCCCCTAGACAGCAAAACACGGCAGGTCGAATAGGGGATGTGCACTCCAGCTTTTTTTATTTACACTATATTTTACAGCACCCATGGCAGCAGTTGTGGGGGATGTCAAGCACTGCTCCTTATTTGTTGCATGTTTAAAGTGTTTGTGACCAGTGGATGGTATTAACTTCTAAGCTTTGAGTCCCCGATCCCGTGCTGATGCCCATAAACAATACTTCTTAGCAACAAGTAGGCAATGAGGTATTGTACACATAGTAGCATCCTTACTACTACGGAACATACAGTACTGTATTAACTGATTTGCTATGAGTTAACTTTTGTGTGAAGTTCTTTATGAGTAATGTACCACAGTATCTCTAATCACATTCTGTGATGAGTCGAAACTAACGCCTGCCGTTTTTGAGGACTTTAGGATTAGAAATGTTTGTATTTGTCTAGATCTGGGTCACACTTTTGAAGGATATGAAAAGAGAGAAAGCCAAAATTCCGAAAACGTTAAACCATAACATGCTCTTAAGCATGCATAGTAATGCTGACTCCTTTCCTAAGTGGATCGTCTATACCTATTTACTTTTTCCCTTTTTACATGATTATTGCCCAGCGAACGGATGCATGGATTAATAGCAGAGCCTGTACTCACGAAACAACAATTCCGATGGTATGTTAGGTAACATAGCTACATCGATTGCTTCGAAAAGTAAAGGCTATTCTCATCATGATAAGATGATATTCTTGCTGATTTCATTACTATTCAAAAGTACTAGCGTAATGCATCCTTACCTCATATTCTTCACTGAATCTCTAGTGAAACACAATTGCTTTAGATTGCTTTATGTGTTTTATCTTGAGCAGAATCTTTAAATCCTTTACTCATTGATGCTGCTTGCTATTATTCAACATTCTTGTCCTGGCTAAAATTTCACTTCCTTTTCAAAGTGTGATGTTCATGTGCTACTTGTAGCTATGGAACCGGGTTTAGTTGGATTCGCTAGGCTGTTATCTTACAAGGAGGGAATACAGTGACTTTGCTTTGAATGGTAGTATTTCACAGATAAAGCAAGCTATTAAAGAATCACATACATAAATTATTATTTCCATGTATGGTTTGGATGAGTATTACGCTTTTAATTTTTTTGAATCTTACTTTAATCTGCTATTCTCATGTGTGCTTCATTCGTTGATATTGCTTTTAGTTGTCGACACTGACTTGTGTGTAATTCGTCTTCTATTCAGTTGGCTGTCACAATCCTTTCCTCTATTCAGATTGTTATTGCACTCTACCATATTGTGAATTGGATCTTGACAGTTTTTTTTTGCCCAACATGTTTCAGACTTTAGGATCCTGTTCTTAAGACGCTTGCAATGTTTGATGCTTAACATTTAATTTCATCTGTTTGGGCCTAAACAAAACGTCTTAAGTACTGCATCTCTGAGGCTAAAGGAGACCTTCAGCTGTTCTTTGGGTACCTTAGCATTAACATTTCACTCTATTGATATGAGTCAGTTTGCTTTTCTCCGTTCTCTGATGATCAAAGACGCAAAAGCACCTGTTACTATCCATATCTATCTATGCATCATTGATAACTCATTTACTTTTCATTACAGATCTTCTGTCATGTTACAACACCTCATGAATATGAATTGAGGAACTGCTTATCTTTGTTTCCTTTTTATCCTTTCATTCTATCACGGAGAAAAGAAATCCCCTTCATTTTACATTTTATTTGAAACTTCTCGTGAGGCTTTGTTGTCGTATATTTTAGTCCCCTAAAGAAGGATCCCTTGATTTTGATCTCTTACACATTCATTCCCAAAGCTTAAGGAAACTCAAAGCATATCCACAAAAACATCATTTCCGTTGCTTTTTCTCTATTATACAAACATTTTATTTCACTAAAACCAAACATACACTCTAATTTATATAGTTATATCTTTTTATTTTCCAATTTGTCTATCACACAAGCAGATCTGTATTCTATATACATTCAAACAGACCCGTATCATGCAGAAAGTTGTTCGCGATAGAACAAGGGATTGCGAAAGTTACCTGCTGCCACTTTTACGTGGTAAGGATTCAGTTGCCGAGAGTCACATCAATGAATTTGGTTATTCTGTCCCAGTTCGTCAACTAAATGAGTGCGCTAAACCAGTTGGTAATACTGCTGACAAACTGACGTCACTTTCGACCTTTCAGCCAGAGGGCGATACCGGGATACATGGGTGTGATTCGTTTAGCATAAGTGGAATTCATTGCTTTCGAGGCAAGTGTACCAATATCGGTAAGCACGACTTGAATTGTGAAGCCAAAACCAACGCAACCATTCCCCCAGAAGATTTAGAACCCATTAAAGAATCACCAGTCCTTGAGTATTCTCTACCTTTGATACCTGAATTTGAGTACATGATATGCACTCTTTGTGAAAGCTCTTCTAACGATAAAAGAAGCAACAGTAGCAACTCGGAAACATCTCAAATGAGTGACTCTTGTAGCCATGCATCTTTGAGGAAGGATGATGCATTTAACTTTGGTATAGATACTTATTTTCACGGGACTCAATTAGGATTTGGTAGGCAAACCTCGTATAGAAGGGTTTCTCCAGTGATAAGCAATTTTCTTTCGTCTTATTCCCCCATCAAGAGCTTATGCAGTACCTATCAGCAAGTTAGCGATGGAGCTAGGTCTGACACTGATACCATAGATGACAGGAAATTATTAAAAAAAAACGATGAGGAGACTATGCAAGATTTGTTTCGTCTAGATAGTCTCTTTCAATTCCCTGGAAAGCCCTTTCCCGAGACTATGAAAGGCTTTGCAGACATTTTGCATGACGGTGAAGCGCTATCACAAGCTTGTGTCCCGTACAGCATACGACAGGAGTCATCAATTCACCCACGAAATGACGCAGTACGAGAAGAGATTTTGTGCTCCCATTCTTCTTCCACCCTTCTCAGTGGACAGGTTCCACCGAAAAGTCGTAGTGGTAGTGCAGTGAAGGTATGCAAATTCGACCTGCCTGAAAGTAAATTGACTAAGGATGAAATTGATATGGCGACGGAATGCATAATAGGCGAGATAGATTCTAATTCAACAAGTAGTCACCTTCCTTCTACTTCAGGCAAGACGGCCCCTTTTGTTCCCTTGATGACGTGCTCTTCGACGGCTTCTAAAAAGCAGCTGGACAATGAGGTTGGACGGATATCCCAAATGTGCAAGGCAGTAAATCAACCGGTAGACAAATTAACAATTATTAAGCATGACCCGCTTGCTGCTCCAGCAACGGTGGTACACCGTCACAGACCCTCTGTGCACTTTACTTCCAGCATACGGGATGCATCCCTGGGTAGAAATGAAGCATCTGCGAAATTTTACAAACCTCTGCACGGGTTGAAGCATACATCCATGGCATCCCAAAAGCACAAGTACTCATTCCATTCCCTACTTAGTAGTTCGCACGCGTCAGAATCTAGCTCGTGTTCCACACATACACGAGCCAAGTCTACATCACATATTCTATCAGATATCAAATCTTTCAAGCCACCAGAGGACACACATAAGGTGGATCCCCCAGAACATAAGATGCCTGGAATGCTGCCAGTGCTTCGTGCACCCCAAATAAAAGCGGCTGACAGTAAATCTAATCTACAACGTCCAAAATCCAACCCAACGGAACTATTGCCCATTAGGGGCAACACTGATGAACTACCATACCCTCTGCCAAGATCGAGCCTTTCCAAGGCGAAGATGCAGAAATATCATCCAGGACACTCAGAAGTTTGTAATAAGTCTTGTAGTGAAGATGGCATAGTTTTGGTTTCCTTTACTGGAAGAAATAGGGAGAGTGAAGGACTAAAGGCATCTTCGCGTGTTTTAAAATCCTCCCCAGAAGCCGTTGGTATCTCCAAGAATCCTTTTGAGAAAAGAAATGCTGGGACGGTTAGCTCTACTTCAAATGAAAAAGATGCTTCTTTCCACCACACTGTAGTGAGCACTTCTCCTGAGGGTACCTCGTTATCTCATGGTGACCAAAAATCGTTTCAATTTATGCCGAGATTGATTGCGAGTACTGAGGGAAGCGACGCTTGTACATCACAAAAGGGCTGGTCGCCTGAAAAAAGCCCGACGGACCATGCATTTGAGATGGATACTTTGCGTACGGATAGACAGCGGTTGAATATCCTATCAGATTTAAAACCATCAGTGACGGATATGGTGCCAGTATCATCTAAAAAATTTGGAAAGCAGGGAGCTCAACTTTGCAATAAAGCTATTTCTCAAAGAAGCCAGCACGCGGTAGGCCGCTCTAAAGTTTCATTGCCTGGGGTCAATATTACCAAGCAGGATATGACCCATACAATGTCGTCTATTGAAAAAGCTCAACGATCAAGGTTTCATTCCTCATTCAGTGCTTCAGGGGAAGAATTACCCTCTAGCTCTTCCATGGCCCTGATATCTTTCTCGGGAGCTCTTGACTCCACGTCGCAGGAGCCGAGTCATCAGAGCACCATGCGACTGTGGATGAATCAATTTAAAAGCAGCAGGTACTGTTGGCATACTCCCTCCAAATACCATTCTTCAGATGCTGACAATGCAGTTTACCTTACTCAAGACGCAAAACCGTTCTCTCGTTCACTACCATTGAAAATTTCGGTAAAATCTGAGGTTGAAAGAACACGCGAGCGCAAGGAGCGTGTTGCGGCACTTTTGGCTTGCCGGGAAAAAAAAAGGCAAGAAAAATTTCAGAAACTGCAGTTGAGGGCTGAAGAACAAAAAGATAACCAGGCTGAACCATTTTTTTTACCTTCACAGAATGTTTCTAGAGCTCATGAGGTGCTAGCCCCACCCCAGGGAGGGCTTGCCCAAGTCCTTGTGGCTGCACCTCACCCTCTCGCAGAGAAAACAACTTCTACTGCAACCAACAAACATGTCGCCGCGACGAGCAATTTTGAGCAAAATAATACGCGTGTTCGCTCGATGGTGGTTCTCTCTATGCACCGCACTAATCATAGTGGACCAAACGTTCAACACGACAGTGGCAGCAATGATGATCAGATTGGCAAAAAATTTGAGAAGCGACCCAATTCTGCAGCCAATGTGAGGATCTTTTTGAAGGACCGTCACACTTTGAAAGTGTGCAGCCCCTTCGAGCAACCCAAATTTTTCAGAATCGACGAGATTGTGGAAAATACAGGGAAGGTGGAGCATTTACAATCTTCTTGTATATCTGAGGCGATAGAGAAGCTTTATGCAGGTATAAATGTAGCTGTCTTACTCTCTTCCACAAAAAGAGCCAAAACTAGCTCCTTGGCATTGGTGCAGCACATATTTGGAAGTTTACTAGAGCGCATTCCCGCTAAAGCAGTATTGTCGTGGTCTATGTGCACCATGCATAACGGGCGCATGAATCACTTGAATCTTACAGGAGCAAATACGAATAACCATCCAAGTTTAAAATCATCTGTAAAAAAGGATCCTTTGTCTGGGATAGCTCTCCACACAACAGTTTTGAAAGGCATGCTTTTGGAAGGTGCAACATGGACACGCGTCAGCGACGTTTCTCAGCTTTCTGTGAAGCTTTCCAATGCGTATCAGCAGGTGGAGCTCCATAAAATGGGCGACCTCTCTATGCTTGTTATTTCCCTTGTCCTGAGGCAGGTTATCAACGACAAAGGCAGTACGCGTTTTTCTTCGCTTCTTGTGACGGATTCTGGTATTAATTGCGAAATACTTGATGATACCCTGCGTTCCTCAGATTCAGGTCCTTATGGTCTGCTTCAAAACATTATCAGCAGGTGTAACTTTACCGTGACAGCGTTTTTAGTGGGTGACTCTGAGAGTAGTCATGCTTTAAGACTACTTAACGCACAGCGCAGGCTGTGTAACATTGAGAATATTGATCTTCGCATGGAAAGTGCAAAGTGTGCTTTAAAGCAATCAAAGGAGGAGTTGACTAGTGTGGAGAATAAAAACGCATATACAAATGCAGCCATCGCTGCGACGGAGCCACCCATTCATCCGAATAAAATTAAGGAGCCGCATCATTTAGCATCAGCTTGTGATATCCTGTCTCGTTCGTGTTCCACGATGACACTTGAGAATGCAAAGTTAAAGAAAAAAACCAATGCTACGAATACTGCCGACGACTTACATTGTAGCGAAGATTCCATCAAAAAGAACAACCTTGCTCTGAAACCGACAGGGGTTACCGTTCCGAACCAGGGACACAATTCCGGAGAAGCCGATCCACTAGTCTCTCGCGCGTTATATTGCCATAATGCTAAGATCGGCACTAGCTCTCTCTCCGGCCGTCATGATACATCGGCGATTTCGAAGAACTATGGTGGAGATTGCCGGTTTCTTCCAGGGGCCACCTCAATAGGACCGAATGGCGGACCAGTGTGGTCAAACTTGGCGGGCAACACCGCACTCGACCCCCGTTTCCCTACCAGTGGAGTGGAGGTATCCACCGCATGTGAAACTCGGGCGGAAAGCATCATCAGCAAGTACGATGATCGTTCTAGCTGCCAGAGCGGCTCCAAAGATACCAAATCTAGGCACAAGTTACCCTTGTTTCAGGAGTCTACCAACGCCGCTCGATCTGCCCCAACCTCTACCAATGTTCGTACCCTCGTTATTTTGGACTCTCAGTGCGGTGAATTGTCCAACATTACGTACGATGATAATGTCGTCTTCGTGACTACTGAAGACGATTTCGAGGATTATGAAATGGATGAGGTAATTGAGATGCCTCTGGAGCAGGATGGAAAATACATTCAGTCGAAAATTCTTGAAGAGCTGTGTGAAACGATTTGCCGTGGCTGCAACGCTGCTCTCCTTTGTGGAGTTAGTCGTGCTTTCCGTGTATCCCCACTGGCTTTAAGCAGCGTTGTGAACTCCATTTTTGGCAAGTTCAACAATGACGGCATAGGAACAGGTAATAGCGGTATGCGTGGTGGCCTCACGGTATCCATAGTTGATATCAAAGGGGAGATGGTAGTAGACCTTCTAGAGCCCAATGCAGAACCACGAAAGCTAGTTGTCGCTATTTCCCCTATCTTTGGTTCCTGCGTACACGGTGTGCGTTATCAGCCTGTCAAAGATTCTCATGGTTTCGACGAGATTCTCAGCAGCGCATTAGCACAGTTGAGTTTTCCAACACACGCGAAAGATCATAGGCTTGTTTTCTGTTCCTTAATTTTCAAATTTAAACACCAAGATCAGAACGATGTGCTAGTCTGTTCACTTGTGGCCAGTTTGGCGCAACAAAATGTGGGGCTCTACCGGTCCGTTCTCGAGTGCAGCCCTCTCGTGCCCCGCGCACTGTTTCACTACGCGTTGAGGGGCCCCTGTTTTACCGTTGCGCTTCTTGGTATCGGTGGCGATGAGAAAAGAGTCAAGAAGATGCTTGATATCAATAGATATCTCCGCGGGATCAAAAACAGGCCGACCCATCCCGGGAGCATCCTTCAGTTCGTTAGTAGTGTTCGCGAAGGTCTTGTTCCAACGCTATCTGAGAAGCTTAAACAAGCCCTAAGCGAGGAAGAGCGGACTGCTACCACTAAAGTTTTGAGTCGTGTGGAGGAAATGATTAGCGATGCTGAGGCACTTCTCAAGGACTTTGATCATCAGCAGCCTAAGGCGTACGTTCATGAGGATGCCAGCGAACATAAAACAACTACAGCTGACATTTCCAATCACAGGACGTCTACAAAGACACAATGCAATTTAGATTTGTCACATCGTCAGTCTATTGACTCAAAAGTAGGAAGCACGACATCCAGGCACCAGCAATTAATTCGCTTCCCCAAGCGCTACAGTGGCCAAGTATATCCTCCAATATACAGCTCCAAGTTTATTAAAGAAACGAAGGAGTCGCATGATGAAAGCCGTATCAAGTCTCTCGTGTGCTTCGACAAGCGTCTCCTTGGTGGAGGCTTGGTTGCTGTGGAGGGGAACAGTGTTCTTGTAACGACTAAGAAAGGTGCCTGCCGCTTTGATGCTGATGAGGTCATCGTACGAGACGGTAATGACCAGCCCATTCCAAATTCGGAGCTTATAAGTCAGATAGTGCAAAAGTTTGTCAGTGGCTGCGATACGGGCTTGCTTGCTGCAGACAGCGAAAACTGTGCCTTTACGTTGCTCATCTTACACAAGATTGTATGCGACGTCTTGAATGACATAGATGAGCAGAAAAGTAAGGGTGGTTCTCGTCCTTTACCGACTTCACGTTGCGCAGCGCCTCGTGGCTCATCCAGGACGGTCAAAGGGGAACTGCAGGTGTGTATGTCTCTTATTAAAGATAAAATCGCTACCGATTTACTTTGTGATAAAACCAAAACGCCCTCTCATATATTTAAAATGGAGCATTCTGCAATTTTCAGCTCTCTCATTAAAGGCATCACGATGCATTCTGTGAACACACTTGAGGAGTTTGACCAATTTTTTAGTCTCGCTATCGACAACGCAGATCCGGCTCTGCAAACGGAGGATCCAGGTGTAATGGTCATTTCTCTATTTCTTACGAAATATGTCAGTGAATTGGACAAGGACGATGTGTTTGTTTCGACATTTACCTCTACCGCTGTGTTTGATGCCGTACATTACTACACTAGCGTACTAGAGGATACTGCGGGAGAGCTGCTCGAACTATTTAGAAAGCTTATTGGTGGCATTTCACACACCGTAGCACTTGTTGGCATTAGTGATGAGGACAATGACACACACAAGTTTCTCACTGTTCTTGATATGCTTTCGAGGGTTGTGAACCTTTCGTCGGAACCAAAGAGCATAAACAAGCTGGTGCAAGACATTCAATTGAACATATCTAGGTTAATGGAGCACTCCTCAGCATCGACGAACTCAGAGGATGGGGATCACATCATGAAATGGATACAAACCCTCGAACTAGCGTTGCACGATGTGAAGGAGTTTGTACAGAGTCGATGGCCACAGTCACGTTTACCCGCTTTTGTGCCCCCAGTATAATTCTTTCCCACTGTTTGTACAAAATGTTTGGAAGAGTTTGATGAAATTAGAACTTTAACAAGTTTTTTTTTAATAAGGCTTACATTAGGCTTACCAAAAAAGGAAAGGCATCTGCTAGTTTTCAGTTGTTATGTGTTTAGTAAACGAATGAGTTATCAGCCACTTGATGACAGCAGGGGATCCATATGTGAAAAACAGGTATTTTTTTGCTACAGTTTTTTTCTTCGAATACTTATTCTTTCTCTATATATATGCATTCATATTTTCTTGATTTTTTATCAAGATATTATCAGTTATGCGTTGCTTTTGTTATGAAGCAAAATACTTAGTAATAACCGGAAAAAAAATCCAACGTTACGCTAAGTAAGAAGACCACTTTAGCATTGGTTTGTTATGTAATATTATTAATATTCCTATTACTATTATTATTCGCGTATTTTTCTATGAATCTTTTTACTTTTTCTCCCAAATAAAAGCATAAAATCATTTTCTTCAAAATACTTTTTTTTTCGAGAACTGTTATCCGAAAGGATCACTATGGTTTCCATAACCATTCGATTTTAAACAAAATTTAAGGTTTTGTCCTGAATAGTTCCACTTACAAGCATCACAATCCTCTTGGATACCCTATCACTTTAACAACTCCTAATGAGATTTTTAGACATGTGATCTAATAGCTCGAAAGGTAGTGAGTTACCTGTTTTGGTTATATCGAACCAACAATACCATGATGCCATTTCTCTTTCACCTGGGTTAGAAAGGAAAAATTGATAGCATAAATGGGGATTCAAGTTTAGTGCCCAGAATCAGATTGAACCTGCTTGTGGAGACTGCGAGAAACGTGCTTAGAATCACAACATTTGCTTTACCTAACGCGGAAAGGATAGCACCACGACAAGTGAGACACTTCTTCTTTATTACGAAAAGGTTTGCCTAACCTTTTTGTTATTTATAGTGTACAGAATAGCAAACACATTGAATCTAAAGGTATGCCACCTACCGTTGCTTTCAAAGTTAATGTCGATAGGTTATGTGCTGTGAATTCAAGGAAATCCCTAAAAGTGATAAAATTGGCAAGTGGGTTAACTCCGGATTTCTTCAAGACTTCCCTATGCACATCGCGTTTGGTTACCATTCTATTGCTATTTTTGTGGTTTATCAATGGAAATCTCCGATGATCAGCACAAAAATGGCGAATCCGTTGGATTTTTATTTGAGCAAGTTCGGCGGGTTATCCGATTGTACCCCAAAGGAGGATCGCAATGCAGGCCACGGCGCTATTGTTGTGTCCACGCACTGAAGTGACTTAGTGGACCAGCAGTTATTAAAGAGGCTTTATAGCATTGCGTTCTATTTGATTCATCTGGCAGGTGTCTGTGCCACAAGGACTACAGCCTTCAACAGCGATGTGTATGCAGAAGTGATTTTTATGAGGAGAATCTTTGTACGTCCATTGGTGTGTGGGGGAATGACTGTGCTTCGCCTCATTCTAACGTGAGTCTGAGAAGGCAAACTTCATCTGTTGTCAATTCTCTTCTCTTTTTCTGAGTACCACGAAGTAAATCGAAGTTATGAAGATTCTAGATAGTGGACTCGTGTATTTGAAGCTGTATCTGGAGACCAGATAAACGATAACAGTGATCAGTCGGAGTGCTTCATCCGCTTGGGCAGTCTCTTGGGAGACCCTGTCGAATTCTTTACCAGTACCAGTAGACAAGCCTACATAGCTCTGCCGATAACGGGAAGGCGTGCAGACAGTTAGCTTCGCCAAGTGGCTACTCGTCCGCGGCACCACGAAGAGGTGGCAGGCATATACCACGGCTGTCTTGTCATCTTGTACTATTTCATTCTCGCAGGACGTTTGGTAAGACGTCTGTGAAGCCTAATATATATTCTTATTCTTATTCTAGCGGTAGTGTTTATTAAATGTATTTGCGCTTTTTTCAGCAGTTACCTTACATAAAGCTGTTTCTCTAGCTTTATGGGAGTTGGAATTTGCCAAAATTACTGGTTTCTTTCAGCAATTAGTATAAGAATTCACTTTCAATCATTTTTCGTTCACCTTTTTTTTACATTTTTTCTTGACTTGTGTTATTGATATTTTTTTTGTAATGAATTTGATTAGAATTTATACCACGGTTTGAGTCTTTTTATGGTCTTTCAATTGTCATAAATTAACCACAAATGGTCTAATCATTTGATTTTTTAATTTGCATAGTTTTCATCTACATATACTCTCTCGTCCTTTCTAATAAAAGTCCTTAAAAACAGAATAGAAAGCCATTACCACGTGCGAGGTAGTTTCGTCAATTCCGAATCTTTTCTACCATCTAATCTTTCTCTGATTTTACTTTTTGGGGTCCACGACAGCAATCACAGATGGAACCATTCAATTATGTGGAACCTAACCTCAACGATGGCAGCGGCTTTATGGGCCAAGGGCCAATGGACTACTCCGAGTTCGCCCCGCCGTACGCCGAAATGTGTAATCCGATGCTCCTCGCGCCGGCGATGAACCCCAGAGACCCATTGAGCCGTGGGCCGAACTGGATGGAGAGGTCTATGGGTGCGGATGCCCCAACCAACGCCCTCCGCAGGAAAGGCAGTGTCTACCAGGCCCAACGCGATCGCGAGACACAGAAGACCGTCAACTTGTGGGGCATCTTCGGCCCAACCTCGGAGGACGTCTCTGCGCAGTTTTATGGTGACATGGCATACCGCAATGCGGGTCCATCGGTGAACGGCCTGCGACCTGTCCGTACTGTTCGTGGTGGGGTTGAGAACGGCCAAGACCTCAGTAAACCTCGCCGTGTCAGCACCCGTCGCAACTTGCAGGATCGCGGCAGTACCGGGTACGGCGGCATCGCCTTCAAGCGCGCTGTTTGTATGTCTAACGGTGAACCCGTAGGGATAGGGCAGATCCCCATGGCATTCATGTGTACTCCAGAGCCCTGCCCAGAACCCGGCCTTCCATGGGAGTCCCTGGAGGCTGAGGAGGACAATGCCATGGGCTCTGTGACCGTGTTGGAAAATGTGTCTCATTAGTCACGTTAAATAGCTTCCCTTGACATTTTTTTTACAGAATCAAAGCCATTCGATGAAGCCAGGGTTCTAGCTGAGTTATAGTTTTCTTTTTTTTTTTGAGTCCCATACCCTCAAATGGAAATTGTGACGTTTATATATGTACATTGATACAAACGCTTAATCATTTACGTTGCTTTATTGATTAGCTTTTCTTGCCTCTCCGTATAAATCATAAATTGAACGCAAATTATGTTTCAAAAATGGCGTTGCGATCACATAGTTCTATTTTTTTGTTAGCCAAATATAATTAATCGTATCCATGTGTATAAAGGGACAAGTATAAGCTTACATATGTGTTAAAATCAAGCTCAATGCATACCGTTATTTTCGGATTCATCGCTACTTGTTTGAGGAGGTAAAATATATGTATGCACATGTAGAAGCATGGTGATATATATTATGTTTTTTTTCGCCTGGTAGTGAATTCCAATCTGTTGACACATTTGATGTCATTGCTTTCGTGTACCACAGCGACGCGATTTTACCAGTTCTCAAAAAGTATGAACAACTATGTTGGAGTAGTTATATTTTTTCTTCTATATTTATCCTTTTTCACCTTTATATATATTTTTTACTTATTTAGAGGACACCGGGAAAGCAATGTAAACAATTATTACAGTTGCTATTATTTTGGTATTGTTGAATACTACAAAATATAGTAGGCTTCTATTTTGAAACTTTTCAATCCTTTTGTAATGTTCAATCTTTAAAAGGATTTGTTTTTATCATTTTTCATTTAAACTTTCAACAGTTTTTACCAACTGCAGTAAACACCGTACTAGCGAAACCCTATTAGAGACATCTCGTTTTTGTCTCTACCGTTAATATCTGTGGGCATTACGCATCTCATTTCAGGATTTGCTTGTATCTTTTGTCTCGTTGTATGTGTGTGTAGATATGAGAATGTAACAGAAAGAGCTTTGACAATGCGTATTTTTGTTTTTCTGAAGCCATAGTTTACGTGTTAGTCTGTTAGAGTCCTTTTGCTTCTCTTTCGTATATATATAGTTTTTGTGAAGTTTAAAGAGATATATCTGAATATTGCCACTATGATTATTATTTTTTCAAAAGGTCTTATCTACTACTGACTATTTGTTATCTTTATCCATATTCTCTTGATATGTAAGAGAAACTCTATGTAAAGACCTATCCATTCATGTGTTGATGTTATTGGTTACACTAATGCAGTAAAAAAATTATCCGATACTGTCTTTTCTTCAAATTCTTACTTTTACATCAATATTTAATCAGTAGGTTTTCCTATTTTCATTTGCTTTTCGTTTAACTCAAAATATTTGTTTAGGTCTTTTTTTAAAGTTTCATTTTTATTTACATTGTCCGTTGTGTTGTTTTCAATTAGTTTATTTTGAATATTTTAGAGATTTTGTAGACTTCTATAAACGGAAAAGACAGATATAACAACAAAGGGTGCTTATCTATTTCAAGAACGTGATAAAAAAAATCGATGAGTTTAACTCAGTCACAAACATCGGTTCCAGACGATGCGATACCTTGCCTTCCTCGGCCAAACTCAATTCTACAGAAGCAAAGCAGTTTTACAAGAGGCGCCAAAAGATCTGTCCCACACTCTGAAGCGAATAATAGCGCAGCCGTAGCTCCGAATGTTTTCGGTGATAGTAAGCCCCAACAGGTGATGAGTGCTACACGTCCAAGAAATAATCCGGTCATCGAAAATAAACCACCCACACTTCATCCTTCAGGGTTTCCAAAGCAAGATACAGGAATGGTAAAAAATGTTATGAGTTCTTACCTAGCGGCACCTCCAACTAAGGCCACAGTCGTACCTACGCCTGCAAAGACGCCCCCCACTGAAACTGAGCGTTCATCTGAACCTACATCTGCTCCTGCACGTGCACCCGCATCTGTTCCTGCGCGGACATCCGAACCCACATTTGTTCCTGCACGTGCACCCGCATCCATACCTGCGCGTACTCCGGAACCCGCGCCTGTGCCTGCGCCTGCACGTGCACCCGCATCCGTATCGGCGCGGGCACCTGAACCCGCACCGGTATCTGTGCGGGCACCTGTATCCACCCCCCCACTCACTTCCGCACCGAAGGTTACCCATGAACCGATGAGGAGGCGGATTTCGCCGCCCAAAGCGACTCAGCAGCGGGTCATGGCCGGCGATTCCTCTGCTCGGAGGCCATCCGTGGAGGCCAAGTCGTATGAACCGGAGGGTGTCAGGCGTGTTTCCGGGGGGATGACACACCTGAACACGGGGGCTCAGCCGATGGCGTGCCCTTTTCCACAAGGTGGTTGCGTCATGCGCCACGACAGCTTTGGGCCTTCCCGTTTTGGCAGCTTTTGCGGTGGGATGGGCTCGATGGGACCAATGGGGTTCCAAAACGCTTTCCCCGGAAGCATGTATGGTTTAATGGGCTCAGCTTATGGTAGCATGGGGCCCGGACGAATCCCAAGCATGGGCGGTTCCTTCATGTTCAGGGGCATGGATGGCAGGATGCCGGGATACATGAGTGATGTATATTCTAGCGCCTATGGCAGCTTTCGATTTTCAAACAACGTATCAATGTATCCTATGCAGAATGGTAGCTTTATGGGCAGCCTCAATGGCTCCTTTTACGGCCCTAGAGGTGTTGGCTCGATAATGAATGCTTCCTTGTATGACAATTCTTATATGAACAACAGCTTTTACAAGGCACCTATTTCAGGGCAAACCAGCAGTTACGGACTCGCGGCGCAGTGGTCCAGTTTGGCTGACATGAGCGGCCTTAATCGTCAGAATGAACTTGCGACGAGCGACTACGGTGGGTTCCAATCGGGATCCCATTATCGATTTGATGACCTGTATCCGAAATACGAGCAGGATACTTCTGTTATTGTTAAGCGTAGCGGCCGCCGAGGTGGGAAGAACGTTTCCAGTGAGACCAAGAATGAGAACCCGGAGAAGAAATCAATTAACACCGAGATCAATATCAAACAAACGTCCTTAAGCGAAAATAAGCAATCTGAATCTTTACCTATCAAACAGAAAATTGAAGTCAGTAATCCTCCTACCAAGGCAAATGAGGTAAGCAATAAAGCCCGTGCCGCAGTGCCTACCTCCTACGATGTTCATACCCTTCTCATTGTAGACAAGTGTGCCAGCGGCAAGCCTGATATCGTGGTTACCGACCCCAACACGGTAGTACTTCAGAAGAATGGTAGAAGCGAGACCTTTGAATGCGATGAGGCTCTGCATCGTGCTAAAACGTCGGAGGAAGTTGATTCCGTCCTTTTTTCTGATCTCCGTTCCAACTGGCTTGCGGGGCACTGTTCCTCGATTTTGTGTTGCGCTGGAAAAGGCAAGGACAAAGACGCCATCGGTATTGTTCACACTATGGTGAAGAGGAGCCTGGAGAGGCTAGAGAAGGCACCCATCACCACATTCGACGTCAGCATAAACATGTGCCAGCTGCGCGGGGCGAATCAAGGCCTTGACCTCTTCAATGACACCACCAACTATGAGAACCTGAAACTAGGCTCTCATCCTGTCTACGGCCCGTGCTTGCTTGGGCTCACGACAAAGGTGGTACGTACTGCGAAGGATTGCGTGAATGCGCTTGAGGAGGGCATTGCGAAGGCACAGAGGATGGATGAAATTACTACCGCTTTCTTGGTGCTGAAGACAGCTCGAAAGAGTTCCTCGAGCATAGACGTGTTTCTTTCCTCTCTATGCATTGTTTACATGCATGAAACGCCACGGCATATTACGGAGCTTAAGGATAAAGCTTCTATGTCTCCCCATCGCATTTTTCGCTACGCTGTAGGCGGCGCTTGTGTCTGCGTCAGCATGGTAGTTTTGGATGAGAAAGACACCGATGCTTTGGCATGCTTGGAAGCTGAACGCAAGGTTCGGGAAGTTAAAAATAAGCCGCCCCGTAGCGGAAACGTGCGTAGATTCATTGAGTTCACGGATAAGGAAATTGTACGTCAGAAAGAAAAGCTGTCATCTTCCTCAGGAACGGAGCTATCACAGCGTGAGATGCAGATCAAACGTATGGAGGATATGTTAGAGGATGCACGGTCGGTTTTAAATGATCCGGCGCATAGCCAAGTGAAGGGTTATATCTTGTCCTGAAATATCACATAGTTCGTCTTTACTGGCAGACTTATTTTTAATTCTTAAGATGTTTCACATATTGAATAGGGCTAGCGCATACGTATTGTTCTTTTTTTTTGCTATACTCTTTTTAATTAACTGGAGGATAATTTTCTCTGAATGCACAAATTTCGAGTACTATTTATAGTTTGTAATTCCTCGTGTGCGTGTTTTTAAATCTATTTTTGGGCATGAATTTCCATCCTTTTCGAAATGTTGGCAGCTATTTATGTGTACACAACATATGGAGGTAAAAATGTGACTTGCAACGATGGACACTAATGAATTTTCCCTTCATTGTATTTTAGAAGCTGGAAAAGTGACATACATCGTGAATTAATATTATAATACCTTCCAGAGATATTTTTTTGCCGCAGTATGTGTCATTCTATCTTTCCAATGAGCGTTGCTACCATTTTTTGTCTTTTCGATGCACATCGTTTTATTCCACTTGAATCTCACTCGTTTCATACGTTGGTGGTTCCTTCTTTTTTTTTATATTTCGTGTGTAAGTAATTGAAAAAATATACTAATCACGAAAGCGTATAAAGATGAGCATTTTTACATATGGAATTTGACATCTTTTGGTAGGTAAATGCATGAAAACCTTAACACTAATTCATTTTGGTTCAACGAAGCTCTTTTATTATTGCTTTCCTGTCTCCAAAAGAGAAGCGTGAAGAGTAGGGAACTCGATCCCCTAGGAGAACTTTTCTTGAAAGGATTTCTATCAGAATCAATGTTTCATACATAGATTATGTATATGTATACGTAGACAAATGATTTGGTCGTGCTATTGCAATATTTTTTTTTTTTGTGTCTACTTTCAATAATAACCTAATATATATTTTATTAATATATATATATATATATGTTTATACTTAATTGATTATTTTTTGAGCCAGCCTACTAAGATTTATTCAAGGTTTCATTTTCATATATGATAATTTTTCATATACATATATACACATATATTACTTTGCTATGTATAATGGGTTTATTACTACTATATTTTTATCTAAAGGAAGGAAAAGGGAGGAAACGATGTGTGTATATGTAAACATACATACGCTTATTTACAGAGGTGCTTAACTTCACATATTCTAATCATTCAACGTCTTACAAATGACTATACTGATGTGTGGTTCTAAACTTATAGTGATAGGGATAAAAACAGCATCTGGGTGTAAATTGCTTGAATAAATTGAAAAAAAGATGATCTATTTATCTTTTCTTATGACAAGGGAAGATACAAAATGGGTCTTGACAGTGAAATTTTATAGTCTCTGTATTTGGTGCTGATTTGACAATATCCAAGAAATATATATGTAATGTTTTCGCTACTGGTCTACATATGTTCACGGGGTCTTTAGATAAAGTCATGCTTTATTTCCAACTTTATTTTTATTCGCATCTTCTTTTAGTTTTACAGACACCGTTCCCGTGTCGACTCCAGGGCTTTTATTTGGATTAGTTTATTATTCGAGTGTGTTATGCCTTTTCTGAAATCATCTCGAAGTTCCACAACCGCACAACCATCACAAAAACCTCGACCCACCAAAGATTCAAAAGCGATCGTTAAAGGCGCAGAACCCACCGATATGAACTATATAAATGGTGTCCCCGCGGGGATGCCTCCCTCTACTTATCCCAACCAGGCTGCCGTATCGCTGCAAGGGCCCGCAAGCTGTGGGCTTCAGGTTGATTACGGTAGGGCTGAACTTTATAACCCCAACATTGGAATGGGATCGAGGCGCAGCAGTTATGTGGGTATCTGTGGTGGTGGTGGCAGCTTCTATAGCCCTTCCTGCAACCCTCCAATGATGAGTAATGTGAGCAGTTATGGTAGAGTGGGCAGTATCCGTGGCATTGGTGGCTTCGGCTCAATGGGACCTGGTATGATGGGCTCGATGTACGGTGGTGGCTTCGGCTCAATGGGACCTGGTATGATGGGCTCGATGTACGGTGGTGGCTTCGGCTCAATGGGACCTG